ACTGACTTTCGCTTATGAAACGGTGGCTTAAAGTGGCCTCTTTCTAATGCTGAAAACCGCACTTCATTATCTATCTCCCGCGAGGAGTTATTCAAAAAGCAACCGACTGCACGACCATTTGGTACGGATAGTAGGAGTAGTCTCATTTTGTACTCCACACTTTCCTCTACATTAGACCACGCTCAGCTCAAAGTCCTAAATTTTTTCAAGAAAGAGAGGTGAGGTATCCTTAAATGCTGAAATAGAGTGTTCATTTGAAATTTGACCTTCACAAATATCTTTTGGAGGAGTTGACATAACATATTGAAATGTTTATTAGATTTCATGGGAAAATTTAAAGATAAACGGGTCATCGGTAACAGAAAACTTCATATACGCTTCGTCCTCTCCACAATCTCAAAAAGGGCAGCTGCAGTCTAGGAAGTTTCGAGCATAACAATATTTTTACTTTAACTTTCGAAACATCTGATTTACGTCATTCGCGTTGATTAGATAAATCCATTTGAAATCTACTATCAGTATAGCGAACATCAACGCGAGCACATGGCATATGTTATATAGCTTCAATAACAATCGCTTTTGGAGAAAATATTTAGCTTACGTGAGAGCTGAGAAATCTTTATTTTCCTTTACAGCAAAAAATGCCAATATCGGTAGTTGTGCATGCCTAATATTCTCTACCTTTCATACTCTCCTTGTCTCTCCTCGCACCACTTGAAAAGTTCTTTATCTGAAAGACGTGACGATACTTGTTTTGTAAAAATAGTTTGAGTTTATGATTAGAGAGTTTACAATCCTTTTTTACAGGTCCACCCAACAGCCTAGTTTCATTCGCTTAAATTTTGTAGATATTCAGTCCCTTTTTCAGATAAAGAAGAACTTTTTTAAGTGCTGCGAGAGGAGAGAATAGGACAGTATGGAAGTTAGAGAATATCAGGCATGCACAACTACCGATATTAGCATTTTTTGCTGTAAAGGAAAATAAAGATTTCTCAGCTCTCACGTAAGCTAAACATTTTCTTCAAAAGCGATCGTTTTTGAAGCTATATAACGTATGCGATATGCTCACATTGAACATTGTTGTTATGAGACTAGACTTCAGATGGGTTCAGTTCGTAGAAAAAAAAAATTTAATCCCAAAATAACTTAAATTATAGTTCACTGTCATTCAAGAGAAAAAGATTCCCTACATATTAACCATCCGATTGTTTTTAGTGTTCGAACATCCCTAGACGTATATCTTCTTACTGGAGAATATAGATATATAATGTGGTTGACGACAAGAAGTATGCCATTGTCTTATAAAGTAAGATGCGTCAATATTCAATTTATTTAACAGTATTTCACATACTTCAATATTCATTCGAAAATTTTACTATGCCTGTTTGATCATGCACCTATACATATGTTCGTTCTATTTCATAATGTGCAATAAATTATGTTAAAGTCACATGTCCCAATTAACATTACTTACCTGGTGTTTATAAATAACCGATCTATATCGGATAAAAAAAGACCGCTCGCCACAGGGAAGCCCTATTGTTAAAGATATTTCATTCGGCATAAGTGAAATGGGGAAAGAGATAAATGCCAATTATCGATAGAACAGCCTTTTTTTCAATACCTACCTATTTTTTTCTCTTCCTTTTCTCTATATCGATAAAACGTTATCTGATTGACGATTTGCTTACGTGTTATATTGAGATAAACTCATTTTCCAATTATATGTGGTGTTAGATAAATAAAAACACCAAGAAAAATAAATTTCGTTTTAATATTTACACCTTTTCAATGTCTCACATTGCGGTTCAATTGTAGTGTTTCTATTATAGTAGTGGCAAAATTAAACATTTTTCTTGTACAAATCAGTGGGATAACACAGAATTAAAAAAGAATATAATAGCTATGGTAATGTACTGTAGGAATACTGATAGTTGCAGAGGAATATCTCTCAATTTTTCTAAAACAAGAGTATCAGTTGTATATAGAACGACTATAGCTGTGCAGACTACTTTAACTTGCATATTGTTTATATATCACTGTCTGGATGAGTTCAACGGTTATGATGTAGCTCACATCTACAGCTGTAATCTCTGTTCAATTTCTATACAATCTGGCCGGAAACGGTGGACGCATGTGAATGGTAAACTTGCAGAGAATTCAACTAATATTAAAAAATTCCCAATTCACTCAAAATATTCAAAGATGCATTCGGTATCGTACATGATCTTTCTTTTCGAATTTGGATAGATCTCGTGGAGATCTTTCATTTGAGACCGAGATGAAAGTTCTACGACAGGGACTAGTGATCTAAGTAACCATCAGAGTAAAGGGTATTTCCGCTGGGAAACGCACTTTCGCTGGGAAAGTAGTTTGCATACAACTTTTTTTCTATCGCAGCTGGAGACCTGCGGTTCTCGCCATTGGAGTCAGCATGAAAAACAACACTAGAAAATGTGCGTCTCATCATTTGCGCCAGAGATTGATGTAATGGTGGTATGTTCTATATGGATTTACCGACATGTGTCTTCAGTTCAACTTTAACCTTGATTTTCTCGGTCGACTCGCATTGGCCCCCAACGAAACTTTCAGGGTTTGAAGTACTAGTCATGTAGATCACGAATATATATGTCGGAGCTCTGTGCAATCTCAGGTTTGTCTGGAAGATTGCCTCAAAGTAGGGCAAAAATGTGAAAAAATGTGGAACTGCTCACAGTATTTTTTATGTCATTTTGTCTGGAAACATGATACAAGTTTGCGTGACCTGCTATTCGATAGAGCATAAAAAGACGATTCTAAAACACTAATTAGTGTTGAGTTTCGGTTTGATTTACATGGACCTGGGAGAGAGCCAAAATCACCGTTTTTCAACAACTAATTTTAAACAGTCAAGGCATGTTGGAATATTTTTCTGCTAGATACCTTTACCGGGGGACCCCTCAAAGCGATTTAAAAATTTTTTAAGGTGATTCTCATCAATAACTCCATGAGATCGGCTACTTCTGAAAGTTTTATCTGATTCTGTGATGCTCACCGTAACGGTGATACGCTTTCGAAAGAATTGCCCTTAGTTTATCATGTACAGTGGATCCTTTACATTATTCGGCGTCACTTTTCAAAGCATATCGTCTTGATCTTTCCTTGCGGCATTATTTCTTGAGATCTTGGAATGGTGTGTCAGTGCTCTTCGATCCCAAAGTTGTTAAAGCCTGTGACATGGAACTATTTACGGATGCCCCTGCATCAACCGGTTTTGGTGGATATTGGAAAGATGAATGGTTTGCCTCTTCATGGCCTGATTTTGTACCTAAAGGATTATCTGTAGCATACTATAAACTATTGCCGTTAGTTTTACCGGCATCACTGTGGGGCCGACATTGGGGAGGAAAAATGATTCTGTTTCGATAAGACAATGAGACAGTTGTAGCAGTCATACCAAAGATCCACAAATAATGAGTGTCATGAGACGATTCACGCTTTACGCCTGCGAACATACCGTTATTGCTTATGCACAACATATACCTGGTACCAAAAATCAGGCTCCTGACGCTTTGCCTCGTTTAAAGTTAGGGAAATTCCGAACGTTAAAACCAAGTTCTCATTTACATCCCTTCCAATTCCTCCACCACACAAGATTTTCTTTCCGTATCAGACGTGATTAAGCATTTGCTACACAACGCATATGCGCAGAACACTATTACATCCTTTGATTCTGCATATAGACAGTTCTTTAATTTCGTTACTATATTTAAAAAACCCATGCTCTTGAATATGCCAATTTTATCAGAACAATTACTGTATGGATTTGTTGGCTTCTCATATGGTTTCCTACATCTTTAGTCAAGCACTATTAAAATGTATCTGTCAGCTATTAAATATGTATATGTCAAACGCGAACTTTCAATGTCGGTGTTCGATCATCAGCGTGCAGGAGCCAAACTGTATTTATTGACGAGAGCAGCGAAACGGTTAGAGAACACTACTGCACGTCCCAGGCTCCCAATCACTTGTGATATTTTAAAACGTCTGTTATCCTTAGGAAGTTTTAGTCCTTATTGGGACATAGCTGTTACAGACAGCTATGGTTGTAGCATCTTTTGCCTTTTTACGTTGTGTAGAGGTTTGTACCACTGCAAATACTTTTGATACAGAATCTAATCTTTCTTTGGAAGATGTTTCGTTTAGCTCTTGCCAAACACGAGCTTATTTGCGTCTGAAAACTTCGAAAACCGTTCCCATTAGGCGGGGTATCGTCATTTCTCTATTCGAAACTCAAAACTCCATCTGTCCGGTTTCGTTTTTAAAACGTTTCGTTACAATTCGAAAAAGTGTTTCATAGTTGCAAAGAACCTCTCTTTCTTACACTTCAAGGTTTTTCTCTTAAGCGCTCAATTTTTATAGATAAAACACGGCAAGTTTTACAGTGATTAGGTTTGGATTCGCACTTATACTCTCGCTATTCTGTCCGACGCGGTGCGGCTACGACAACAGCTGCCGTCGGTATTCCTCAACACGTCATACAAACACTTGGAAGATGGCTTTCAGCATCATCCTTCATATTACACGTCGATTTGCCTGCCTACAAGCACATCTTCCCATTTTATTGCTGTGTACCGATGACACGCTGTTAGTAACTAACTGCCTTTAATACGTCCAAAGTGCGTACCACACAGAAGAGTTCTGTCTTGTTAGATGATACGACCAACAGTGTTCCGAAAAACATAACGGAGGATTCTCTGGCATGCACTCCAATTTGTTATCTTGGGTATAGCTAAGTATGACATCGGTCTATCACTTTCTCGAAAATAAAAAGACATTGTATCAAAAAATTTTAAAAATTGAACCTCAAAATATTTTAGTTTACGGCTTGTCCGGCTAACGGTCCCCTTTTTTTGCTCTTTTTGAAAAAATTCTTGCAATAAAGTTAGAAACTAATTTAAAATTCTAAATAGATAATCGAGTAGATTAAACATATCTCTATAACATGAGAGATGTCTCGATTCTGAAAGTTGATTCATTATGAAAATAGTGCTATTTTACAAACAACCCGAAAAGTCAATTTTGGGGCTATCTGAAAAACGTTTTTGAAAGAGTGAAGATGATCAGAAAAATATCCGAAAAGTATACCAGTTTGTAGAAAATAGTTTGCTCTACAAGATGTGATAGCTTTTAAAGGTCCAAACTAACTTAATTGATCTTTATTAATCAAAGAAAAGCAAAGAAAACGGTAACGCACTTACGAAAAATGGCAAAAATATAAGTGTGTTGCGCAAACTATTCCCCCTTCTCTACTATCTCATATGATTGCATACTGACATGCACTTATCCATTAGTCCATTTTTCTTATTTTGTTGTATTCAAACAGTATGTTAAAAATTGGCGCAAATAGTCTTCCAGAATCGAGACACCTCATATTTTAGATGATCTAAATGAAACAGTCGGATCAGTGCCATTAGTCATATTTCCTGAAGGACAAGTGTCTCTTAATGGGCATAGCATTATACACAGCCGGGAGAGATCTTATTTTACTCAGAATTCTTTGCTCTATCAGGTTGGCAAAATTTTCTGACCAAAAGCCAAGGACTCGGTTTTCCAGCGGTCAGGTTTTTCAGAAACCCTATTATCAACTTTTTTGATGAAACGGCGATATGTACCTCGTCTGATAGAAAAGTCTTCAGGCTGTTCAAAACAGTATTCAGGTTGGTTTCAGCTTTCAATAAAAACAAAGAAGTTCTAGTGAGTATAGACAATCGAGTACTCGATTGTCTATTTAGAATTTTAAATTAGTTTCTAACTTTATTGCAAGGATTTTTTCAAAAAGAGCAAAAAAAGGGGACCGTTAGCCGGACAAACCGTTTATTGTTATTTCTTATACCCTCTTGAAAGCGATATTATCTTTGTATCATATGGTTGCGTACAATGGTTTGTACACTCTAATGCGACTTAGGATCAAATTAAGTCGCATATATGTGCCTTATTCTGTGATAATAAGACACATATATGCGACTTAATTTGATCCTAAGTCGCATTTATTTTTAGAGTGTAGAGTCTCCAGCGTGCATCCTGTCATGTTGCTGTTCATTCTACAGGCTAAAACGTCGAGTTTGATCCTTCAAAGCGCCGAAATTAAGAAAAGAAGCGTTTGGGTGTTATCTATGCAGTACAGTGTGTCATACTCACAAGAACTTCTTTGTTTTTATTGAAAGCTGAAACCAACCTGAATACTGTTTTGAACAGCCTGAAGACTTTTCTATCAGGCGAGGTACATATCGCCGTTTCATCAAAAAAGTTAATAATAGGGTTTCTGAAAAACCTGACCGCTGGAAAACCGAGTCCTTGGCTTTTGGTCAGAAAATTTTGCCAACCTGATAGAGCAAAGAATTCTGAGTAAAATAAGATCTCTCCCGGCTGTGTATAATGCTATGCCCATTAAGAAACACTTGTCCTTCAGGAAATATGACTAATGGCACTGATCCGACTGTTTCATTTAGATCATCTAAATCATCAAAGCTCGTCCTTTTTACTACTAACTGTTTATCATTAACGCCGAGCGGGCGGAACCATGGGAGCGAGCACATGGCACTGCACCCACAGATTCGCGATTTGATAATGAAGTAATTGACAAAGTAGTCACAAAAATTCGTAATAAAACAAAACATATTGCTAGTATGTTACGTTTATACACGTAAAGAAAGAAGGGGATAAACACAATAGAATCACTACAGGGTGTTGCAAAACCTTTACGCCCCCCTGGTTCGACCTTAAGGTCAAATGATTTCACTAAGTATTTTATACCAAATTGAAGCCCGTAAAAAACTGCATCGATGAGTGCAATTAGACCAAATATTGCCTATTACATTATTAAAAGATCTTACACTACATATCAAAATGTCATAGATCCTATAATGTCGAATATATGAAAGAACTATCATACCGCTCGCCGACTTAAATTGTAGCTTGTAGAGTTGCCAATTTATTGAAGATATAACTGCTTAAAAGTAAGTTTTATGACAGAATTTTAGAACCTGGTATGACCTCCCCTGGCAGCTTCGAGAGCATCAGATCTTTTCCTCATGGAACACAGCAAATCAATAAAAAGATCTATGTCATCTTCAAGATCCTTGAATGTATTCTCGAGGGTAGTTTTGAGAACATCATAATTGTATCTATCTCGACGATCTTCGCTGTCATCAGTTCTTCAGCTTTATCTTTGATAATTGCACCAATGTTTTCTGCAGGATTCATGTCAGGACTGTTGCCAGGCCAAATCGAATTGCCCCAGAAATTCACAATCTCACATTCCAGAAGATGCTGTGCTGTATTAGCTTTCATGCAGGGTGCCTTATCGAAGAAATATAAAATATGCATCAAGAAGTAAGGTATATGTGGAGAAATGGGTATGATCGTTTTTTCATATATTC